GCTCCCCAGCCCCTGCCCTGAAACCTGCACCCCCCTCACACACACCCAGGCCCCTGCCCCGATTCCTGCATCCCCCCACATCCCCATCCTGAGAACCAAACAGGAGCTGCCCCAGGTAAGCGCTCCACACCCCAACCCTGAGTCCCCTCCCTCGCCCTAGCTCCTGGCCAGACCCCGCACCCGAACATTCTTTTACAATATTTGGAAAGATCATTAAGAGGTCCGTCAAAACCCTCTGTGATTTTCAAGTTGTCTGTGGAAAAATAAGTTAGACTACAAGAACAATCAAGGTACCTCACTTTATTTTCATTTACTTGCTATTACTTATGGGAGGAGGATGAAGAAAAAAAGAATGAAAAATGGGGGCAGGTGGAGATAAGAGAGAATGTTCTTTTTCTTGACTGGGTCCCAAGGAGGAGCCCCAAAAATGAAGCTGAGCACAGGGCTGGAGGGCCCCACTAACTCTGCTGTCACATCACCTGGGCTGGGGATACTGTCAGGTCCGGTGTAACCACTAGGCGAACTAGGCAACTGCTTAGGGCGCCAAGATTTTGGGGTGCCAAAAAGCAGTGCCCCAAAAAAATTTTTTTACACTACAGTGGAGTCCCATCTTACACAGGGGTTAAGTTCTAAGGTCAGCATGTAAGAGGAAAATTGCGTATAGTGAAAATTACCATAAAGTACAGTATACACTAGAACAGGGGTCCTCAACCTACGGCACACGTGTTAAAGGTGGTACACAAGCTGATTTTTTTTTTAATGGCAGGCTGCAGGTCCTGGCTGCCGCTGAGCCTGCTGCCGACCTGGGGGTCTGTTCACTCAGCTGGCAGCAGGCTGAGCAGGGCCAGCAGTGGGCCCGGGGTCCCAGCCACCAGCCCTGCTCAGCCCGCTGCCGGTCTGGGGTTCCAGCTGCCAGCCCCTTGCCAGTCAGGGTCCCGGCCACCAGGAGGCTGAACGGATCCAGCGGCCAGGAGCCTGGCTGGCAGCAAGCTGAGCAGGCTGAGCGGAGCCAGCGGCTGGGACCCCGGCTGGCAGGAGCCAGTGGACGGAACCCCAGACTGGCAGCGGGTTGAGCAGCTCAGCCCGCTGCCAGTCTGGGGTCCCGGCCGCCGGCCCTGCTCAGCCCGCTGATGATCTGGGGTTCCAGCTGCTGGCCCCTTGCCAGCCCGGGTCTCGGCCACCAGCCCTGCTCAGCTTCCTGCTGGCCTGAGTGAATGGCGGGAGGCTGAGTGGAGTCGCTGGCTGGGACCCCGGCTGGCAGCTGAGTGAACGGAACCCCAGGCCAGCAGCAGGCTCAGTGGTGGCCGGGACCCGCAGCCTGCCATTAAAAAAAAATAAATCAGCTCACGTGCCATCTTTGGCACGCGTGCCGTAGGTTGAGGACCCCTGTTCTAGTGTATACTGTACTTTATGGTAATTTTCACTATACGTAATTTTCTTCTTACGCGCTGACCTTAGAACCTAACCCCCGCGTAAGATGGGACTCCACTGTATTCATTTTTGAAAATTTATAATAAGCGATGCTCCGGGGAGGGGGGGTGCAAGGTGGAAGTTTCGCCTAAGGTGCAAAATATCCTTGCACTGGCCCTGGATACTGTGTCAGCTGATCCCCATAGTCTCCAACCTACCTGGGCAGTACAGCAGACATGGCCCTGCCCACTAGCTCCTCTCCACTCCCTAGC